TCCCCAATCCCCCAATCTCCCCAATGTCCCCCATGCACCCCATATCCCCAATATCCCAATGTCCCCAACACCCCCAATGCCCCCAATGCCCCCCCAATGTCCCCAGTCCCCCCAATCTCCCCAATGTACCCAATCCCCCAATGTCCCCAATGTCCCCCATGCACCCCATATCCCCAATATCCCAATGCCCCCCAATACCCCCAATGTCCCCAACGTCCCCAATCCCCCCAATGTCCTCAATCCCCCCGATGTCCCCGCTGTCCCCGTACCCTGCTGATGGCCAGCAGGCAGCGCAGCCGCCCAGGTGTGCCCAGGTGCCTCAGTTTCCAGTGCACCAGGTGCTCCCAGGCGAACACGAGCAGGCTCAGCCCCATGGCCACCAGCAGCATGTAGAACACCCCGGCCATGTTGTCGATGTCCAGCTTGCTGCTCATCACCTCCAGCTTCTCCTGGTGGCAGATCCCCGACAGCCAGAGCCGCTCCAGCATCTCGATCTCGTCTGGGGTGGGGCAGCCATGGGGGTCAGGGGGGCATGGGGGGGCATCTCGGGGGGGTTTGGGGGCGTTTCAGGGGGTTTGGAGGTATCTCAGAGGGGTTTGGGGGCATCTCAGGGGGTTTGGGGGCATCTGGGGGGCTTTGAAGGCCATCTTGGAGGGTTTGAGGGTCATCTCAGGAGGCTGAGGGGGTCATTTTAAGGTGTTAGAAGGTCCAAAACCCCTCCAGGACACCCAAATGTCCCCCAAACCCACCATCCCCCAGGAGCTGGAGCAGGGCCAGGTCCACGGGGCGTTTCCAGCAGGATCCCCGCTGCAGGGCGACGCCATAGGGACCCCAAATCCCCCAAAAACGCCCTAAAGAACCCCCCAAATCCCCCCCAAACCCACCGTCCCCCAGGAGCTGGAGCAGGGCCAGGTCCACGGGGCGTTTCCAGCGGGATCCCCTCTGCAGGGCGATGCCGTAGCCGGTGGAGGCAAAGACCTTTCCCGAGCCGATGGTGACGAGCTTGCAGCCCTCCTCCTTGCGGGCCATGTAGTTCAGCACGGCCGCGTCGTAGATGAAGGCGTCCAGCTTGCTGCGGGGCACGCCCACCGGCCTAAGCCACGCCCACTGCGCGGAGACCCCGCCCACAGCACATAGAGCCCGCCCACGGCATCACCTGTGCACTAAACCTGGCCCCTATGCCCCGCCCACAGCCTGTAGGCCGCGCCTATGCACACCAGGCTCCGCCCATGGCAGCGAAACCCTGCCCACAGCCTCGCCTGTGCACTAAGCCCCGCCCACAGGACCTGCCATGGTGACATCAATCCCCACAAACCCCACCCATCACATGCAGACCACGCCCACATTATTGAAACCACGCCCTGTCAGCTAAGCCCCACCCACAGATGGTTAACCTGCATTCAAGCCACGCCCACAGAGACACACCCATTGCATAAATTATACAAAGCCACGCCCATTCACAATCAGGCTCCTCCCACTCCCACAAATCCCCACCCCCTCAAGCCCCTCCCCTTCATCCAAGGCCCCTCCTCTATTTGGTTCTGTCCATCCTATGCCACGCCCACACCAAGCCACGCCCATCTGCCACAAACCCCTCCCCCTCCCAGGCTCCTCCCATCCCAGACCACGCCCCCAGACCCTGCCCCATTTCTCCCCTCTACCCCATTATTTTCCCCATTATTTCCCCCATTTTCCCCAATTTCTCCCCATTTTCCCCATTCTTCCCCCGTACCCCATTTTTCCCCTGTTATTCCCGCCCATACCCCATTTCCCCCATTTTCCCCATTTCTCCCCGATTTACCCCCATTTTTCCACATTTCCCCCATTTTCCCATTTCTCCCCCATTTCCCCCCATTTTCCCCATTTCCCCCCCATTTCCCCCCCATTTCTCCCCCAATTCTGCCCCATTTCCCCCCATTTTCTCAATTTCCCCCCATTCTCCCCATTTTTCCATTTCCCCCGGTTTTTACCCCGTTTTGAGGTGCTGCAGCGCGTCCTCCACGCCGCGCTGGTTGTAGCGCACCATGTAGCTGTGCATGGCCGGGTAATTGCTGCGGATGTTCTTCTCCGTGGAGCCGTTGGGCACCGTCCCGAACTTCAGAGGGGGGTACTGCTCCTGGGGCCGCTGGAACTGCACCCCAAAAACACCAAAAATCACCTCAGGAACCCCAAAAATTACATCAGAAACCCCAAAAATCCATGGGAACACTCAACAACACACTTGGGTCAAGAGGGACCCAAAAACACCACCATGAACTTCAGAGGGGGGTGCTGCTCATGGGGCCGCTGGAACTGCACCCCAAAAACCCCAAAAACCACCTCAGAAACCCCAAAAATTAACGGGAATGGGTAAAAAACCACCTGAGCTGAGAGGGACCCAAAAAACATCCACCAAAGACACAAAAGTGACACCACAGCCCCAAGAACATCTCATGAACTTCAGAGGGGGGTACTGCTCCTGGGGCCGCTGGAACTGCACCCCAAAAACTCCAAAAATTACATCAGAAACCCCAAAATTCACTTCAGAAACCCCAAAAATCCTTGGGAATGGGCAAAAAACCACCTGGGCCACCAAACGCCCAAAAGTGACAACGAGTGACCCTCCTGGTGTCCCCCCAGTGTCTCCCCAGTGTCCCCTGGTGTCCCCTGCTGTCACCTCCTGATGTCCCCTGGTTTCCTCTCGATGTCCCCCTGGTCTCCCCGCCATGTCCCTGTGGTGTCCCACCTGATATCCCCCCAGTGTCCCCTCGGTGTCCTCTTGGTGTCCCCCTGGTTTTCCCCACAATGTCCCCTCACTGTCCCCACAATGTCCCCTCGGTGTCCCCACCATGTCCCTGTGGTGTCCCCCCAATGTCCCCACAATGTCTCCCTGGTATCCCCACAATGTCCCCTCGGTGTCCCCACAATGTCCCCTCACTGTCCCCACCATGTCCCTGTGGTGTCCCCCCAATGTCCCCACAATGTCTCCCTGGTATCCCCACAATGTCCCCTTGGTGTCCCCACAATGTCCCCTCACTGTCCCCACAATGTCTCCCTGGTGTCCCCCAGTGTCTCCCCAATGTCCTCCTGGTGTCCCCACAATGTCTCCCTGCTATCCCCCAGTGTCCCCCTGATGTCCCTCTGGTGTCCCCCCAATGTCCTCCTGGTCTCCCCCTGACGTCTCCTTGATGTCCCCCTGGTTTCCCCACCGTGTCCCTGTGGTGTCCCCCCAGTGTCCCCACAGTGTCCCCACTGTGTCCCCCATGGTGTCCCCCCGATGTCACCTCAATGTCCCCCTGATGTCCCCCCGGTGTCCCCCCGTTGTCCCCTTGTGTCACCTTGCGGTCCGCTGAGGGCCGGGACACGGTGTCCACGTACTCCTCCTGGATCATGAACGCCGCCAGGTTGGCCGTGTAGCTGGCGAGGAAGATGACGGCGAAGAAGGCCCAGACCAGCACCATGATCTTGCTGGTGGTGCCCTTGGGGTTCTCCACCGGCACCGAGTTGTTGAACACCAGCGCCCACAGCAGCCAGATGGACTTGCCGATGGTGAAGGTGGAGCCACCCGCGCCTGGGGGGACAGGGGACATGGGGACAGGGTCACTGGGGTCACCTGGGGTCACACAGAGTCACCAAGGGACAGGGGACACCATGGGGACACACAGGGACAGGGACACCATGGGGGGACACCAACACCAAGAGCAGCCAGATGGACTTGCCGATGGTGAAGGTGGAGCCACCTGCACCTGGGGGGACAGGGGACACGGGGACAGGGTCACCTGGGGTCACACAGAGTCACCAAGGGACAGGGGACACCCAGGTGACACCAACAGCAGCCAGATGGATTTGTCACTGGTGAACGTGGAGCTCCGCAGTCCTGGGGGACACCAGGGGTCACCTGGGGACACTGAGGGGTCACCTGGGGACACTGAGGGGTCACTTGGGGACACTGGGGGTCACTTGAGGACATTGGGGACACCCAGGGACAGGGGACACCGGGAGGGTCACAAGGGGACACAAAGGGACAAGGAGATGCCATCAACGCCCAGAGCATCTGATGGATTTGTCACTGGGTGATCGTGGAGCTCCCCAGTCCTGGGGGACACCTGGGAGACACCTGGGGGTGACACAGGGACACTGAGGGACACCTGGGGGTGACACGGGGACAGGGGGGACAGGGGGACACTCACGCTGGCCGCTGGCCAGGCTCCGGTTGTAGCCCACGGGGCTGAAGTACTCGAAGATGAAGACGGTGACGGCCACCACGGTGAGACACATGACGAACATCATCACCCACACGGCCGGGCTGTACGGCTCTGCGGGGACATTGGGGACATCGGGGACATTGGGGACATCAGGGACATTGGGGACATGGAGGGACATGGGGATACACGGTGAGACACATGAGGAACATGATCACCCACACGGCCGGGCTGTACGGCTCTGCGGGGACATTGGGGACATGGGGGGGATCCCAGTTGGGGTTTGTGGGTCCCAGTTGGGTTTTGGGGTTCCCAGTTGAGTTTTGAGGGATCCCAGTTGGGTTTGGGGATCCCAGCTGGGTTTTATAGATCCCAGTTGGGTTTTGGAGGATCTCAGTTGGGTTTTGGGGGATCCCAGTTGGGTTGGGAGATCCCAGTTGGGTTCTGATGGATCCCAGTTGGGTTTTACAGATCCCAGTTAGGTTTTGGGGGATCCCTTTTGGGTTTTGGGGGATCCCAGTTGAGTTTTGAGGGATCCCAGTTGGGTTTTGGGGTTTCCAGTTGAGTTTTGAGGGATCCCAGTTGGGTTCTGATGGATCCCAGTTGGGTTTTACAGATCCCAGTTTGGGTTTTGGGGGATCCCAGTTGGGTTTTAGAGATCCCAGTTGGGTTTTGTGGATCCCAGTTGGGATTTTGGGGCCCCTTTGGGGTACCCAGGAAGGCGGAGGCGGACACGGTGCCATTGCTGCGGGACACCATCACGCTGATCCCGGTTGGGATTGGGGGATCCCAGTTGGGATTTTGGAGATCCCAGTTGGGTTCTGCAGATCCCAATTGGGATTTTGGAGATCCTAACCAGGATTTGGAGTTTTTGGGGTGCCTTTGGGGTTTTTGGGGTACCCAGGAAGGCGGAGGGGGACACGGTGCCGTTGCTCCTGGACACCATCACGCTGATGCCGGTCTCCACGAAGGGCACGGAGAAGTCGATGATCTCGGAGCGCTCCTCGTTGATGGTCAAGGAGCCGATGGCCATGTCCGCGCGCCGGGTAAAACACCTGGGCGGGGAGGGGCGTGGTCAGGGGGCGTGGCCGGAGGGGCGTGGCCATATGGGGTGTGGTCAGGTGAGACATTTTTGGATCCCCTATGCCCTCCCCATCCCCCCCTTGGTTGCCCTCCCTGGGGGTCTCTCCCCAGCCCCAATAACCACGGGGTGGTCCATGGTGGATTCTGGGGTATTTTGGGGTGCACAGGGTATTTTTGGGGCACAAAGGGATATTTTTGGGATGTGGGGATTTATTTTTGGGGTGTGGGGATTTATTTTTGGGGGTCTCACCTTCCCCCATGCCCCCCTTGTTGCCTTCCCTGGAAGTCTCTCCCCAGCCCCAATAACCACAGGGTGTCCATGGTGGGTTTGGGGTATTTTGGGGTACAAAGGGATATTTTTGGGGTACAGAGGGGTATTTTTGGGGTACATGGAGGTGTTTTTGGGGTCCCACCTCCCTTCTTGACCCTCCCTGGGGGTCTCTCCCCACCCCCCATCCCCAAAGGGTATCCATGGTGGGTTCTGGGGTATTATTGGGGTACAGAGGGATATTTTTTGGGGTACAGAAGGGTATTTTTGGGGTACAGGGAGGTGTTTTTGGGGTCCCACCTCGCCCACCATGCCGTTCCAGACGCCGTCGATCTTCTTGCCGTGCTTGCCGTTGGTGACCAGGTACAGGTCGTAGGTGAAGCCCAGGGCCCGTGCCAGGCGCTTCAGGATGTCGATGCAGAAACCTTTGCAGCACTTCTTCTCAAAGGGCGGGGGGCTGCAGGGGACCCCAAAAGTGGTGGGGACACCCCCAGGGTCTTGGGGACACCCCAGGGTCTTGGGGACACCCTCAGGGTCCTGGGGACACCCCCAGAATGAGGACAACCCCATGGCAGCAGGAACAAACCCAGGATGTTGGGGACAGCCCCAAGGTCCTGGGGTCACCCCCGGGGTCTTGAGGACACCACCAAGGTGGTGGGGACACCCCTGGCATGGTGGGGACTTCTCTAAAATGGTGGGGACACCCCCAAGGTCATGGGGACACCCCCAGACTGCCGGGGATACCCCAGGGTCCTGGGGACAGCCCCAGAGTCTTGGGGACACCCCCAAAGTGGTGGGGACACCCCCAGGGTCTTGGGGACACTCCCAGGGTCCTGGGGACACCCCAGGCTGCTGGGGATACCCTCAAAGTGGTGGGGACACCCCCAAATTGGTGGGGACATCCCCAAGCTTCTGGGGACACCCCCAAAATGGTGGGGACACCCCCAAGGTGGTTGGGACACCCTCAGGACCTTGGGGACACCCCCAGCTGTCCCTCAGGTGTCCCAGGTGTCCCCACGGTGTCCCCGCGGTGTCCCCACCTGGCGGTGCGGTTGAGCTGGCGCCGGCAGGGCACGGAGTCGCGGATGCAGGTGCCGGTGGCGGGGTCGATGTTCTCCACGATGACAAAGGGACGCTCCTCCAGCGTGGCCACCGTCAGGTGCCGCCCGTCCTCCACGGGCTGCAGGAACCGCCCGTAGCGCGACCACACCGGGTACTTGAGCCTCAGCACCTGCTGCTCCCAGCTGCCCACCTGGAGGGGACATTTGGGGACACGTAGGGACAGGTGGGGACAAGGCCAAGGTGTCACCATTGACAGTGTGACCACACCAGGTACTTGAGCCTCAGCACCTGCTGCTCCCAGCTGCCCACCTGGGGGGGGACATTTGGGGACACGTGGGGACACCCAGAGGGTGACAGGCCAAGGTGTCACCATGATGGGATGTCACCACAGCAAGGTGTCACTGCTAGGGACAATGACAGTGGGTAACAGGCAGAGGAAATGTCACTGTGCCAGAGTGTCACCTTTGGGACAATGATGCCATCGCCATGGTAGGGAAATGGTGAGGAAGAGGACAAGGTGTCACCATGATGGGACATTCCTGCTGGGGACAATGACAGGATCACCTTGGTGGGACCCCAGCCAAGGTGTCACTGTGACAGGGCAGGAGGCCAAGCCGTGTCCCCATCACTGCCAGGTGTCACCGTCACTGCCCAGGTGTCACCGCCACCCCCGGGTGCCACGTTGTTGTTGTGACAACACAGCGTGACAGTGGCGTGAGGGGCGGGACGGCGAAGAGCAGATGGCACCAAGCCCTGGGGACGCTGTGGTGGCATTGTCACCGTGCCTGGAACTCCAACACTGAGCAGACGGGCGCCCTGGGGACACCCCTGTCCCCAAGGTGACACCCCTGTCCCCAAGGTGACACTCACCACCTCCCAGGTGCGCTCCTTGTTGAGGGAGATGACGACCAGCGAGGGGTTCACCAGGTACCCGTCCTCGTTGAAGGAGAAATCCTTCTGTCCCCACGTGATGTTCATGAAGTACCTGCCCAACATGACCCAAGAGTGTCTGGGGTCACCTGGATGTCCCCAACATGACCCAGAGTGTGTCTAGGGTCACCTGAATGTCCCCAACCTGATCCCGAGCCTGTCTAGGGTCACTTGAATGTCCCCAAATGGATCTAGAGCCACCCAACTGTCCCCAACCCAACCAAACCCCAGTCACAACCACGTCTAGGGTCATCCAACTGTCCCCAACCCAGCTGTCCCCAACCATGCTTAGAGTCACCTGAATGTCCCCAACCCAACTGTCCCCAGCCTAACCCAAACCATGTCTAGAGCCATCTAAATGTCCCCAACCCAACTGTCCCCAACCCAACTGTCCCCAGCCTAACCCCAATCACATCTAGAGCCACCACTACTCTCCCACCACCCCCAAACTCCACCTGCCACCCTGCCCCAGCAGTGCCACCCCGCCCCAGCAGTGCCACCTGTGCAGGTTGTCGTTGATCTGGGTGACGTTGGGCGCATGGCAGTCGTTGTTGAACTGTCCCCAACCTAACCCCAACCCCACCTGCCACCACCCCAGCAGTGCCACCCCACCCCAGAAGTGCCACCTGTGCAGGTTGTCGTTGATCTGGGTGACGTTGGGCGCGCGGCAGTCGTTGTTGAACTGTCCCCAACCCAACCCCAGCCCCACCTGCCACCCTCCCAGCAGTGCCCACCCTGCCCCAGAAGTGCCACCTGTGCAGGTTGTCGTTGATCTGGGTGACGTTGGGCGCGCGGCAGTCGTTGTTGAACTCGGGGATGAAGCCGTAGTCGCGCAGCAGCGCCTCGGCGCCCTTGGCCACGATGGCCACGCCGTTGTGCACGCGGTGCTGCAGGTCGTCGCGCCAGCCGGCCGACAGCACGGCGAACAGCCCGGCGGGCACGTGCTCGGGCAGCTGCTCGCTTCCCCCCAGGTTGGTGCCCACCACGAACCAGATGTAGCCGGGCCCGGTGAGGCCGGCGTCGCGCGCGGCGCGGAACACGGCCTCGGCCTCGTCGCGCGAGCAGTAGAGCAGCCGGATCTGCGCCGAGACCTCGCGCAGCTGCCGGCGCGTCCGGGCGCCCTCGGGGTCGTCGGTGAGGTTCAGGGTGACCACGCCGCGGTGCTCCCAGCCGATGAAGCTGCTGTCGGTCAGCACCTCCACGTAGTCCACAAAGTCCTCGTAGCCCGGCAGCAGCGTGGTGACCACGGCGAAGGCCGTCCAGTCGTACTCCTCCAGCACCTCGAAGATCACCTGGAGCTGCTGCTCCGTGGAGGAGCCCAGCTGCAGGAAGGTGGAGCCCTTCTCCTGTGGGCGTGGCAGGGTGGGGGACACAGGGTGGGGACAGTCACGTTGGGGACAGTTGGGTCACGCCAGACGTGGTTGGGGTTGGGGACAATTGGGTTGGGGACAGTCACGTTGAGGGACAGTTGGGTCACGCCAGACGTGGTTGGGGTTGGGGACAGTTGGGTTGAGGATGGTCGGGTGGGGCTGGAAGGTGGTTGGGGACAGCTGGGTGGATCTGCAGGGATGTTTGGGTGACACTGGACACGGTTGGGGCCTGGGGACCGTCATGTTGGGGACAGTCACGTTGGGGACAGTTGGGTCACACCAGGGTTAGCGACAGTTGGGTTGAGGATGGTCGGGTGGGGCTGGAACGTGTTTGGGGTTTGGGGACCACAGGGTTGGGGACAGCTGGGTGGATCTACAAGGATGTTTGGGTGACACTGGACACAGTTGTGGCTTCGGGACAGTTGGGCTGGGGACATTCACGCTGGGGACAGCTGGGTCACACCAGACATGATTGGGGTTAGGGACAGTTGAGGGTTGAGGATGATCAGGTGTTGGGGTTTGGGGACCACAGGGGTGGGGACAGTTGGGTGGATCTACACCTGGTTGGGGATGTTTGGGTGACACTGGACACAGTTGGGGCCTGGGGACAGTCGGGTTGGGGACATTCAGGTGCCCCTAGACACGGTTGGGGTTGGGTTGGGGACAGCTGGGTGACACAAGACATGGCTGGGGTTGTGTTGGGTGGCTCTGGACACAGCTGGGGACAGTTGGGTGCCCCTAGACACAGTTGGCATTGGGTTGGGGACAGCTGGGTGACACAAGACATGGCTGGGGTTGGGTTGGGGACATTCCGGTGGCTCTGGACACAGCTGGGGATAGTTGGGTGCCCCTAGACATGGTTGGGGACATTCAGGTGGCTCTAGACACAGTTGGGGTTAGTCTGGGGACACCTGGGTGACACAAGACATGGCTGGGGTTGTGTTGGGTGGCTCTGGACACAGGTGGGGACAGTTGGGTGCCCCTAGACAGGGCTGGGGTTGCCGACAGTTGGGTTGAGCGCAGCTGATTGGTTCCAGCTCCATCTGGGGACACTCGGCTGTCCCTAAACCCACTCGGGGTCACCTCGGGGGGCGTCACCTTGGGCGTGAGGACGATGGCGGAGCCGCCGTTGACGCCGATGATGGGCACGGAGGTCTGGGCCGAGATGAAGTCCAGGATCTGCGCCACGGCCTCGGAGCGCGTGTCGTCCTCGAAGACGACGCCGTGGATGCGCAGCGAGCTCAGCACGTCGCACAGCCGCACGATCAGGCTGCGCGGGTTGGTGTCGTTCAGCACCACCCCCACGGGGTTCACGTCCAAGGAGAAGTTCCGGAAGGTTCCGGGCGCCAGGCGGGGCCCGGCGGGGGCCGTAGGAGGCTCCGCTCAGGATCACGGCCACGTTGAGCGTCCGGCGCGGCGCCGCCGGCGGCTCCAGGAAGGGGCTGGCGCAGGCCAGGGCCAGGGCGAGCAGCATCCTGCCGGCGGGGACGGGGAGCAGGACCACCGGGGGGCTCATGGTGCCACCACCGCTGCGCCCTGCGGGGACACCAGTGACCAGCAGTGAGCACCAGTGACCAGCAGTGACCACCAGTAAGCACCAGTAACCAGCAGTAACCACTAGTGAGCACCAGTGACCAGCAGTGACCACCAGTAAGCACCAGTAACCAGCAGTAACCACTAGTGAGCACCAGTGACCAGCAGTGAGTATCTGTACCCACCAATGCCCACCAGTGCCCACCAGTAACCACCAGTGAGCACCAATAACCAGCAGTGACCACCAGTGACCACCAGTGACCACCAGTGCCCATCAGTAACCACCGGTACCCACCAGTGACCACCAGTAACCACCCATGACCATCAGTGCCCACCAGTACCCATCAGTGAGCACCAATAACCAGCAGTGACCACCAGTGACCACCAGTAACCATCAATGAGCACCAGTAACCAGCAGTGAGCATCTGTACCCACCAGTAACCACCAGTGCTCACCAGTACCCACCAGTGCCCACCAGTGACCACCAGTGCCCATCAGTAACCACCGGTACCCACCAGTGACCACCAGTGCCCACCAGTGACCACCAGTGCCCATCAGTAACCACCAGTGTCCACCAGTAATGTCCCAGCAGCAGGGGAGGGTCAGACACGGAGATATTGGTGCCCACCAGTGCCCACCAGTGCCCAGCAGGAACCACCAGTGCCCACCAGTAACCCACCAGTAAGTCCCAGTACGCCCCCAGCAGAAGGGAAGGGTTTAGCATGAGGGGAAATTGTGGCAATGGTGCCCACCAGTAACCCACCAGTGCCCACCAGTGCCCACCAGTAACCACCAGCAACAGAAGAGGGTCAGGCATGGAGATATTGGTGCCTACCAGTAACCACCAGTGCCCACCAGTGCCCACCAGTAACCACCAGCAACAGAAGAGGGTCAGGCATGGAGATATTGGTGCCTACCAGTAACCACCAGTGCCCACCAGTGCCCACCAGTGCCCACCAGTAACCCCAGTAACCTCCCAGCACCAGGGAGGGGGAAATGGTGGCAATGGTGCCCACCAGTGCCCACCAGTACCACCCAGTAACCCACCAGTGCCCACCAGTAACCACCAGTAACCTCCCAGCAGCAGGGAGGGTCAGACACGGAGATATCGGTGCCCACCAGTAACCACCAGTGCCCCCCAGTAACCCCAGTAACAGCCCAGCACAAACCCAGTCACTGTCCCCAAAGCAGCAGGGACAAACCCCCCTTGCTGTCCCCAGGATGGGGACACACACACACACACAAATCTGTCACCGTCCCCAAAACACTGGGGACAAACCCCCGTCACCGTCCCCATGGCAACGAGGTGACAAACTGCTTTGTCCCCAAAGCAGCGGGGACAAACTTGTGTCACTGTCCCCACAGCACTGGGGTGACAAACCTGTGCTGGTGGGTGACAAACTCCTGTCACTGTGCCCAAAACAGCAGGTGACAAACCTCTGTCACTGTCCCCAAAACAGGGGGACAAAGCCCTGTCACTGTGCCCAAAACAGCAGGTGACAAAGCCCTCTCACTGTCCCCCAAAACAGCAGGGGACAAAGCCCTGTCACCATCCCCAAAACAGCAGGTGACAAACGTCTGTCACTGTCCCCAAAACAGGGGGACAAAGCCTTGTCACCGTCCCCAAAACAGCAGGTGACAAACGTCTGTCACTGTCCCCAAAACAGGGGGACAAAGCCCTGTCACCATCCCCAAAACAGCAGGTGACAAACGTCTGTCACTGTCCCCAAAACAGTGGAGGACAAACCCACGCCATTGTCCCCAAAACAGTGGGGACAAACCTGTGCTGGTCGGTGACAAACCCCTGTCACTGTCCCCAAAACAGCAGGAACAAACCAGTGCCAGCAGGTGACAAACTCCTGTCACTGTCCCCAAAACAGCAGGTGACAAACCCATCACCATCCCCAAAACAGTGGGGGACAAATGCCTGTCAGTGTCCCCAAAACAACGGGGACAAACCTGTGCCAGCAGGTGACAAACCCCTGTCACTGTCACCAAAACAACGGGGACAAAGCCCTGTCACTGTCCCCAAACCAGCAGGAACAAACCGGTGCCAGCGGGTGACAAACCTGTGTCATTGTCCCCAGAACAGCAGGGACAAACCCGTGCCAGGAGGTGACAAACCCCTGTCACCATCATCCCAAAAAGCAGCAGGAGGGTGACAAACCCCTGTCCCCATCCCCACACCAGCGAGGACAAACTGTCCCCGTGCCGGAGGGGGACACAACCCCCCGTGTCATTGTCCCCACACCCCCCGTGTCATTGTCCCCACACCTCCTGTGTCATTGTCCCCACAGCCCCTGTGTCACTGTCCCCACACCCCCCCATGTCATTGTCCCCACACCCCCCTGTGTCACTGTCCCCACACCCCCCCTGTATCATTGTCCCCACACCCCCTGTGTCACTGTCCCCACACCCCCCGTGTCACTGTCCCCACACCCCCGTGTCACTGTCCCCACAGCCCCTGTGTCACTGTCCCCACAGCCCCTGTGTCATTGTCCCCACACCCCCCGTGTCACTGTCCCCACACCCCCGTGTCACTGTCCCCACAGCCCCTGTGTCACTGTCCCCACACCCCCCGTGTCACTGTCCCCACAGCCCCTGTGTCACTGTCCCCACAGCCCCTGTGTCACTGTCCCCACACCCCCCGTGTCACTGTCCCCACACCCCCGTGTCACTGTCCCCACAGCCCCTGTGTCACTGTCCCCACACCCCCCGTGTCACTGTCCCCACAGCCCCCCCATGTCACTGTCCCCACACCCCCCCTGTGTCATTGTCCCCACACCCCCTGTATCATTGTCCCCACACCCCCCGTGTCATTGTCCCCACACCCCCTGTATCATTGTCCCCACACCCCCCGTGTCACTGTCCCCACAGCTCCCGTGTCACTGTCCCCACAGCCCCCGTATCATTGTCCCCACAGCCCCTGTGTCATTGTCCCCACGCCGGCAGCAGACAAAGCTGTGTCACCGTCCCCGTGACGACGGGGTGACAATTCAATGTCCTCACCCCCCTCCGTGTCCCCCCCAGGTGCCACCGGCCGTGTCCCCCTCCTGTTCCCTCCGTGTCCCCAGCCCTGGTGCCACCCCCTGGGTCCCCTCCGTGTCCCCTCCGGGTCCTACCTGGCCCAAGCTCCTCTCGGGGGGGCTCTGCCTCATCTCGGCCGGGGGGGACAACACGGAGAGGACACTGGGGGGGGGGGTTGGGGACACTGGGGGGGTTGGGGACACACACGGGGGGGGTTGGGTTGGTGGCAGCACCTGGGGGAGGAGGGGACAGTGAGGGGGGGGAGGTCCAGCCCTTCTATCCCCCCCTGATCCTCCCTCCAAAAGCCCCAAATGTCCCCAAAATGTCCCCAAAATGTCGGATCCCCCCCGCCCCCAGCTCTCAGCTCCCATCCCAGTTTACCCAGTTGGTTCATCCTGGGCCCCCCAGGCCATTTCCAGTTCACCCAGCTGGATCCCAGTACCCCCGGTGCCACTCTGACACCCCCCAGCTGGATCCCAGTTCCTCCGAGTCCCCCAAACTGGTCCCCAGTGCCCTCCCAGTTAAACTCCAGCATCTCCCAGTCCTCCCTCCCCTCCCATTCCACAGCCCCGAGCTGGGTCCCAGCTCCTCCCAGTCCCTCCCAGTATCCCCCATTCTACCCCAAATCCCTCCCAGTCCCTCCCAGTATCCCCCATTCCACCCCAAAACCCTTTCAGTCCCTCCCAGTATCCCCCATTCCACTCCAAATCCCTCCCAGTCCCTCCCAGTATCCCCCATTCCACCCCAAATCCCTCCCAGTCCCTCCAAATCCCATTCAAGGCCCCTCAGCTGGATCCCAGTTTATCCCAGTTCCCCTCCCATCCCTTCCCAGTGCCTCACAGTGAGACCCCAGCACTCCCCAGTTCCCTCCCAGTCCCATTCTAGCCCCCCCCAGCTGCCCCCAGTCCCTCCCAGTTCCCCCCTCTCCCATTCCAGTCCCTCCCAGTCCCCCCCCCCTCCCAGTCCCTCCCTTTCCCCCTCTCCCATTCCAGTCCCTCCCAGTTCCCCCCTCTCCCATTCCCTCCCTCCCAGTCCCTCCCAGCTGGCCCCAGCCCCTTCCATTCCTCATTCAGCTCTCCCCATTCCCCCCATCCCAATCCTCCCAGTCCCTCCCAGTCCACCCAAACTGGTTTCCAGCTCCCTCTCCATCCCTTCCCAGTTCCTCCCAGTCCACCCAGACTGGTTCCCAGTTCCCTCTCCATCCCCTCTCAGCTCCCCAGTTCCATCCCAGTTCCCCCCAGTCCCCCAAACTGGTTCCCAGCTCCCTCTCCATCCCCTCCCAGTCCCCCCAGTCCCTCCCAGTCCCCCAAACTGGTTCCCAGTTCCTTCTCCATCCCCTCCCAGTCCCCCCAGTCCCTCCCAGTCCCCCAAACTGGTTCCCAGCTCCCTCCCCATCCCCTCCCAGCCCCCCCCTCAGTCCCCTGCAACGAGACCCCGGCACCTCCTATTCCCCCCCCAAACCCTCCCAGTCCCCCCCAGTTGAACCCCGACCCCCCCAACTGGGCACCATCTCCCCCCCCACCCCCTCCCAGTGCCTCCCAGTGCCTCCCAGTCCCTCCCAGTGCCTCCCAGTCCGGCCCCGCCGCTCCCCCCCCCCGCCCTGCAGCACCCGCTGCCGCTCGCAGAATACTAATAGGGCAGGCGGGCGGTGCGGCGGGGCCGCCTGTCTGTCCGTCCGTCTGTCCGTCTGTCTGTCCCCGTGTCCTGCTGTCCGTCCCCGTGTCTGTCTGTCCCTGCCCCCCCACTCCCCGGGGGTATCGGGGTGTCCCAGCCCGCGGGGAAAGGGAAGAGGGGGGGGGTTTGGGGGGTTGTAGGGTGGGGGGCTGTGGTGGTTTTGGGGTGTCAGGGTGTTGTCGGGGTGTTGTCGGGGTGTTTTCGGGGTGTTGGGGGGTGTTGTTGGGGTAGTTTTGGGGTGTTGTTGGGTTTTTTAGGGGTGTCGGAAAGGGTTGGGGGTGTCGGGGGTTCGGGGGTGTCGAGGGGTGTTGAGGGGCGCCAAGGGGATTGGGGTTGTTTGGGGGTGTCAGGGAGGTCTTGGGGTGTTGCTGTTGGGGTGTTGCTGTTGGGGTGTTGCTGTTGGGGTGTTTGTGGAGGGGCCCTGTGGGTTCTTGGGGGATTTTCTGGCGTTTGGGGGTGCCAGGGAGCTGTGGGGGGGGGGGTCTCGAGGGTTGGGGTCTATGGGGGGGATATCGGGGATGGTTTTGGATGTTGGAAAATTCGGGGGGGGTCTCAGGGGGTGTTGGGGTCCCAGAGGATATCGGGGTCCCAGGGGATGTCCCCAAGGGGTATTGGGGGGTCCCAGGGGGTCCGGAGCGGGGGGTGCTGGAGGGTCCTGAGAGGGTCTCAGGGTGACGGGGGGGGGGGGGTCTGTGAGGTGTTGGGGGGTCCCGGGGGGGGTCAGAGAGCTGGGGGGGGGGGGGCAGGGGGTGGTGTCGAGGCTCTGTCAGGTTGGTGGGGGTGCAGGATGGGGGGCAGGGGTCCCGGGGGGCTCTGTGGGGGGACAGTCACGGTGCCAGAGCATTGAGGGGGGGTCCTGGGGGGCTTGTGAGGAGCTCCCGGGGGGGACTGTGGGGGTCTCCAGGGAGAGCGGGGGGGGGGGGGGGGGGGTCCTTCGGTCCCGGGTGGTCCCGGGGGGGTCTCAGGGGGGTCTGTCGGGTGGTCCCGGGGGTGGGCGAGGGGGGCTCCGTGGGGAGGGGTCTCCGGCCGGCGCTCACCTCTCACACTCCCCGCCGCATCCCCGCCGCTGCCGCCGCCGGTCACTGGGACACACCGGCCCGGCCCCGCCCCCTGCGGTACCGGCCCCGCCCCTTCTCGGTACCGACTCCGCCCCTCCTGGTATCGGCCCCGCCCTTCCCGGTACTGGCCACACACCCTGCGGTATCGGCCCCGCCCCTGCCGGTACCGGCCCCCCCTCCTGATATTGACCACGCCCCTCTCGTTATCGGCCACGCCCCTCCCGGTACTGACCACGCCCCCTCCCGGTACCGCCGAGGGAGGGGCGCAGGACGGGCTGACCCCCCCCCTTTCCCGAGCCTGTCGCCATATCGCGACAGAGACCGGCAGCCCCCCCCATCCCCTCAATGCACCCCCCAATGCCTCTGAAAGGCCCCCAAAGACCCCAATCCCCCCCCAGTTATCCCAAAGCTCTCAGCACCCCCAAATTCCCCCCAGAGCCCCCTCCCAGTTATCCCAGTTATTCTTTGGGGTACCCCCAGACACTCGCAGCCCCCTCTGGAGACTCTGGGGGAGTTATGGGGCGGCTGTTGGGGTGTGGGGCAGGCTTGGGGGCTGTGGGGCAGGAGGGGCGACTGGGGGGCAGCTTTATGGTGGCCACAGGGACACTTCAGGGGATGGGGACACGGACAGCTGGGGGAACAGGGACGGGCCGTTGCCTCAGGCCAGGTGGCAGCTGGGGACAGGGACAGGTGAGCCAGGGACAGTTGGTGGCCCAGGTACAGGCAGTGGGACAGGACCAGCTGGTGGCTGCTGGGGACAGGCGGGAGGAGGACAGGGCCAGGCCACGCCTGGCTGCCCCCGCGGCCATGCGCTAATGAATCGCGTTAATCACCTGTCCAGCAGCTGCTTCCAGTCCAGAGCCACGCTTGGGTGACTGCGACAGCAGCGGGGAGGGAAAAGGGACACGGTGGGGACCGCAGCCCTGCCGTGGTGGAGATCCCCACGGTGGGATAAGGGGAGGTGAGTGAGGGAAATGGGGACCCCCCGCCATGATGGCGCCCTCAGCGTGAGGGGACGGGAATGAGGGAAGCCCCCCATGACCAAACCTCAGAACCAGGGGCTCACCCACCACTGGAGAGCCTCATATTGAGGTCCAGAGGGGTCCTGAGGGAGGTTTGGGGAGTCCTGAGGGAGGTCTGGGGGTTTCTGAGGGAGGTTTGGGGGGGTCCCGAGGGGTCTCTCCCTCCTCCATCCCTCGCTCCCCTCAGCGCTTTTCCCGCCCTTTTCCTTCCTCTGATTGGCCGCGCCCTCAGCGAGGCTCCGCCCCCTGCCTCGCGCAGCTTTGGGGTGGGGGCGTGGCCTAGGGGGAGGGGCCGTGCCCATGGGCGCCCTATAGAGACCCATAGAGACCCTATAGAGACCCATAGAGACCTATAGCGCCCTATAGCAGACTCCAGCACCTCACAGCATGCTCGTAGCGCCCCCTATGGCACCCTGCAGTGCTCTGCTGAGCTATGGGGACCTGTAACACCTCGCAGTGACCTATAGTGCCATATAGAGACCTACAGTGCCCTATAGAGATCCTCACAACCCCATAAGGACCCATTACAACCCCCCTATAGACAGCCCTAGAGACCCCATATGATCCTGCAGCACCCTATAGACACCCTATAGACCCCATATGATCCTATAGACCCCCCCCATAGACCCCCCTATAGACGCCATATGATCCTATAGATGCCCCTATAGAGACCCCTATAGACACTCCTATAGACAACCCTATAGACCCCATGTGATCCTATAGACACCCCTATAAAGACCCCTATAGAGACCCCTACAGACCCCCCTACAGATCGGCCTATAGACGCCCCTATAGACAACCCTATAGACCCCATGTGATCCTATAGACACCCCTATAAAGACCCCTATAGAGACCCCTACAGACCCCCCTACAGATCGGCCTATAGACGCCCCTATAGACCGCCTTATAGACCTCCCTATAGACACCCCTATGGACACCCCTATGGACACACCTATAGACAGCCCTATGGACACCCCATAGACCCCCTATAGACGCCCCTATAGACCCCATATGATTCTATAGGCGCCCCTATAGACACCCCTATAGACCCCTATAGAGGCCCCTATAGACCTCATATAATCCTATAGACCCCCCGATAGACGCCCCTATAGACTCCCCCTACAGACGCCCCTATAAACTCCCCCTATAGACCCCCCTATAGACACCCCTACAGACCCCCCTATAGATGCCCCCCCTATAGATGCCCCCCCTATAGACGCCCCTATAGACCCCCCTACAGATGCCCCTATAGATGCCCCCCCTATAGATGCCCCTACAGATCCCAGCAGCCCAATCCCCTCATGGGTGGTGGCTCTGCCCCACCCCCATTACCCACAATGCCCTGCAGCGATCCCTGACCCCCTGTGATGATGTCATCAGACACACTGATGATGTCATTGGTCATGTTGACACCAGCGGTGACGTCGTTGGCCACGCCCACCCCGTTGATGACATCACTGGCCACAACAGTTCTGCCATTGGTCACCGTGGGCCTGTTGATGATGTCACTGACATCACTGGCCACGCCCATCTCACTGATGATGTCATAGGTCATGCTGATGCTGTTGATGATATCACTGGCCATGCTGGTGATGTCATTGACCACATCCCTCTTGTTGATGATGTCATCGCCGACGTCAGCGCCATCAGAGCTCTCATTGGCCACACTGACGATGTCAGTGGTCACGTGGTGTGATGATGTCACCATCTGGCCATCAATGACATCATTGGAGGGTAATTGGTTGGGATGGGAGGGGCCTTCTCCAGTGGGCATGTCTCAGGTGGGCGTATCCTAGAGGGCGTGTCCATGGGTGTGACCAGTGGGTGTGTCCCAGGTGGGTGTGACAAATGGGTGTGTTCAATAGGCGTGTCCCAGGTGGGCGTGTCCCAGGTGGGCATGTCCAAGGTAGGCGTGTCCAACGGGCTTTGAAAGTTGCTGTGTTCAGTGGGCGTGTCAGAGGGTGTGTCCAATGGGTGTGTCCCGGGTGGGCGTGGCCAGCGACCATGTTCCAGGTGAGTATGCCAGTGGGCGTGTCAGTGGGCGTGTCCCAGGTGGGTGTGTCCAGCAGGTGCACCCAATGGCTGTGTCCAGTGGGCGTGTCCAGTGGGCGTGTCCCCGGTGGGCGTGGTCAGTCGCGTGTCCGCAGCCGCAGGTACCCTCCCCCGCTGGCCAGAGCCAAGGCCCCGCCCAGCCCGGCCAGCGCTGGGCAGTGCCCGGGGCGGCCCCCAACGCTGGCCCCGCCCCCTCCGGCCACAAACAGCCCCGCCCCCAACAGCGCCGCCAGCCCTGCGGGGACACCGGGGGGGGGACATCAGGGTGACATCAGGGTGACACAGGGGGGACACCAGGGGGGCATCAGGGTGACATCACAGTGACACACGGGGGGACATTTGGGGTGGCACTGGGGGGACACTGGGGGGACAGGGACATGGGAAGGGCACAGGGGCTTGGGGGGAGCTGGGAATTTGGGGGGGTTTCAGGGGTGCAGGGGGGGGTTCAGGGGGACCCAGACCAATCTCGGGGGGACCCAGATCAATTTTGGGGTGTTCAGGGGGACCCAGATCAATTTGGGGGCACCCAGATCAATTCTGGGGGGGTCCCGGGTGTTTTGGGGACACTCCAGGGGTTTTGGGGAGCCCCAGTGATTTTAGGGACACTCCAGGGGTTTTGGGGAGCCTCAGGGGGTTCTGGGGGGGGGTCCCAGGGGTTTTGGGGTGCCCCATTTTGGGGGTCACTGACCTGCCAGCAGCTGGGCAGCGGCCGAGGGCAGGAAGAGGCGCCCGCGGGGCCCCGCCAGCAGCTGCCAGAGGAAGAGGAGGAGGCCGAAGGCCGAGAGCAGCAGGGCGGAAACCATCAACCCCTGCACCCCCCGCAGCAGGGCTGGGGGCAGAGACCCCCAGTGAGCCCCCCAAGTGAACCAGAGCACCCCAAAACTGACCAGAGCACCCCAAAAATCACCATCAGCGCCTGCACTGCCCAAAGGGAACCCCAGGACTCCCCAAAATCCCCCCAGGGATGCCCAAAATCCCCCCAAGACCCCCATAGGACCCCCCAAGATCCCCTCAGACCCTCCAGGACTTCCCGTAAACCCCCTCAGGACTCCCCAGGGACACCCGAGATACCCCCAGGACCCCCCAAAATCCCCTTGGACACCTCCAGGACTCCCCCGGGACTCCCAAAACTCCCCTAAGGCCCCCCAAGACCCCCAAAAGACCCCCCAGGACCCCCCCCGGGACCCCCACTCACGGCTGAGCCCGAGGCTGCTGCACTCCCAGCCCTGGATCGGTTTTGGGGGGCACAGTCGTACCAGAGGTTCAGGGGCTGCGAGTCCGGCAGCACCCACCAGCCCTGGGACCCCCAAAAATACCCTCAAACACCCCAAAACCACCTCCAAAACATCCTCAAAAACATCCTCAAAACCACCCCCAAAACATCCTCAAAACACCCCAAAACCACCCCCAAAACATCCTCAAAACACCCCAAAAACACCCCCAAAACATCCTCCAAAACATCCTCAAAACACCCCCTCAAACACCCCAAAACATCCTCAAAACACCCCCAAAACATCCTCAAAAACATCCTCAAAACACCCCCAAAAACATCCTCAAAACACCCCCAAAACATCCTCAAAACATCCTCAAAACACCCCAAAACCACCCCCAAAACATCCTCAAAACACCCCAAAAACACCCCCAAATCCCAACACGGCACCCACCAGCCCTGGGGGACCCCAAAACACCCCAAAACTGCCCTGGGACCCCCCCAAAACCACCCTGAGATCCCCCAAAACTGCCCTGGGACCCCCCCAAATACCCCTGGGGGCCCCACCTTATCCAGGGTGGCGATGAAGAAGAGGAGGAGGATGAGGAGATGAAGGGCGGTGACGGCGGCCGGGAGGAGTTGCATGGTGGGGCTGGGGGGGTTCGGGGGGTCAGAGCACCCCAAAAAAACCCTCAGAGACCCCCAGGCCCCCCCCGAAATCCCTTAGAGATCCCCAAACCCCCTTCAGAGACCCCAAATCTCCCCCAGACCCCCCTGAACCCCTTTAGAACCCCCTCAAATCCCCCCCAAGTTCCTCAGAGTCCCCCAATCCCCCCGGACCCCCTTAACCCCTCCCAAATCCCACCCCAGACTCCCCAAAGTCCATTAGAGCCCCCCCAATCCCCCCGAAATCCCCACCAGACCCCCCCAAAAGTCCCTCAAAGTCCCCCAAATCCTCCCTAAATCCCCCCAGATGCCCCCAATCCCCCTTAGAACCGCCCAAAACCCCCCAAAGTCCCTCAGAGACCCCCAAATCCCCTCAAACTCCCCGAACTCCCTCAGATACCCCCAAATCCCCCCCAGACCCCTCTGAACCCCTCAGAGCCCCCCCAATCCCCTCCAAATTCTCCTTAGAGGCCCCAAAATCCTCCCCAAATCCCCCCCAAATCCTCCCCAAGGTCCCTCAGAGCCCCCAAAATCCTCCCCAAATCGCCCTGAACCCCCTTAGAGACCCCCAAATCCTCCCCAAAGTCCCTCAGAGCCCCCAAAATTCTCCCCTTATCCTCCCCAAATCCTCCCGAAGTCCCTCAGAGCCCCCCAAATCCCCCCAAAGTCCCTCTGAACCCCCAAATCCCCTCAGACACCCCTCCAATACCCCCAGAACCCCCCTCAGAACCCCCCAATGTCCCGCAGAGCCCCCAATCCCCCCCCGAACCCCCTTAGAGCCCCCCCAAATCCCCCCCACATCCCCCTGAACAGTCTTAGAGCCCCCCAAATTTCCCCACAAATCCCCCCCAAATTTCCCCAAACTCCCTCAGATGCCCCTGATCCCTCCCAAAACGCCCCCAAAGTCTCTCAGAAACCCCCAAATCCCCCCCAAATCCTCCCCAAATCCTCCTCAGACGCCCCCAATCCCCCCCACCCACTTTTGGGGTCCCGCCGCTCCCGCGGCTCCGCTCGTTCCGTTACGGGGTGGGCGGAGCCTCGCCACTCACGGCCACGCCCCAAACTGACCACACCCACCCCGTGTCCACGCCCCCAAAACGACCACACCCGTCCCTGGCCACGCCCACCCCGCCCACGCAGACTCGCGGCCCGCCCCACCCCTATCCCCAAATTCCGGCTTCTGATTGGTTGTTGATTTCGGGGTGGCGTCCGATTGGCTGAAAAGTTTGGCAGCCTCTGATTGGTTGGGGTTTTTTTTTTTTTGGTTCCTCCTTCCTCCACGGCGCGCTGCGCTCAGATTGGTCAAGAAGGAGAGGGGCGGGGTTTCACGGTAAAATAACAGCCTCTGATTGGTTGTTGGCGCTGCGGCCACGCCCTGATTGTCATTGGCTACAAGCCCGAGCCCCACCCAGCCTCTGATTGGTTGATTGCCGCTGAGGCAGGGATCATCCCGAAACACGTGATCGCTGTAACCACGCCCTCTTTTTTCCAGCGTCACGTGGTCACAGCGAGGCCCCGCCCCCAGCGGCGCTCCCATGGCAACGGCGGGGGGGAGTCACGTGACCGCGGTGAGAGCGGGGAGGGGAAATTTGGGGGGTCCTGGGGGGGGAATTGGGGTTTGGGGGGGCCGGGACCCCGATTTGGGGGCGCTTGGGGGGTGGGGGGACCCTGGGGGAAGAATTTGGGGGCTACGGGGGGGGGTGGGGGGGATTTGGGACTCTGGGATGGAATTTGGGGGTCTGGGGGGGGGACTGGGGGGGGCTGGGATGGAATTCGGGGGATTGGGGGGGTCTGAGATGGGATTTGGGGGGCTGGGATGGGATTTTGAGGTACTGGGGGGTCTGGAACGGAATTTGGGGGGGGATTGGGGGGTCTGGGATAGAATTTGGGGGTCTGGGATGGAATTTGGGGGGTCTGGGATGGAATTTGGGGGGGACTTGAGGGGCTGGGATGGAATTTGGGGGAACTTGGAGGGCCTGGGCTGGAATTTGGGGGAATTTGGGGGGATGGGATTGGATTTGAGGTGTTGGGATGGAATTTGGGGGGATTTTGGGAGCTGGGGGCGATTTAGGGGTAAATTTTGGGGGTGATGACGTCATTTGGGGGGGGAGGGGAGGGGGGGTTGCCCCCTCGTTGCCACCAACAAAGCGGTGCCAGCCCCGACAGACGGACGGACAGACGGACAGCGGGGCTCCTCTGCAGCCATGGGGGGGGTCCCGCACCCCTGGCTGGGGCTGGGGGGGGGTCCCGGAGCCCTCGATGGGGGCCTCAGTGTCCCCCGTCCCCCCCCACGGATGGACAGGGTGGAGCTGCTGGAGGGGGAACTGCAGAGGGTGAGGGAGACCCCCGGGATTGGGGAGGGGGAACTGCAGAGGGTGAGGGAGACCCCCGGGATTGGGGAGGGGGAACTGCAGAGGGTGAGGGGGACCCCCGGGATTGGGGAGGGGGAACTGCAGAGGGTGAGGGAGACCCCCGGGATTGGGGAGGGGGCTCGGAGACCCCCGGGATTGGGGAGGGGGCTCAGGGCTATGGGTGGGGGTCTCTGGGACATGGTTGGGGGTCTGGGGTCTCTGTGCGGGGGTCCCTTTGGGGGTTCCCTGACCCATTTTGGGGGGGTCCCACAGGCAGGGGCAGTTCTGGGGGGGTCTCTGGGGGTCTCTGACCCATTTTGGGGGGGGTCCCACAGGCGGGGGCAGTTCTGGGGGGGTCTCTGGGGGTCCCTGACCCATTTTGGGGGGGTCCCACAGGCAGGGGCAGTTCTGGGGGGGGTCCCTGACCCATTTTGGGGGGGTCCCACAGGCGGGGTCAGTTCTGGGGGGGTCTCTGGGGGTCCTGCCCCACCTGCGCCGGGAGCTGGAGCGGCTGCGGGGGGAGCGGCGGCGGCTGCGGCGCCTCCTGAGGCAGCGGCTCCAGGTGAGACCCCTCCCCAAAATCGTCCTGGTCCCCCCAAAAAACCCCACAAAATCCCCCTGAGCCCCCCCAAAAACCTCCCTGAGCCCCCCAAATTTCCTTGGTGTCCCCCAGTTCAGGCCAGGGGGTGGAGTCCAGGGGGATGGAGGGCTCTGATTGGCTGGGGGATGGATCCTGGGGTGATGGAGGGCTCTGATTGGCTGGGGGATGGATCCCGGGGTGACGGAGGGCTCTGATTGGCTGGGGGATGGATCCTGGCGTGATGATGGGCTCTGATTGGCTGGGAAATGGATCCCGGGGTGACGGAGGGCTCTGATTGGCTGGGGGATGGATCCTGGGCTGACAGAGCATTCTGATTGGCTGGGGAATGGATCCTGGGGGATAGAGGGCTCTGATTGGCTGGGGAATGGGTCCTGGCGTGATGGAGGGCTCTGATTGGCTGGGGGATGGATCCTAGGGTGATGGAGGGCTCTGATTGGCTGGGGAATGGATCCTGGCGTGATGATGGGCTCTGATTGGCTGGGGAATGGATCCTGGGCTGACAGAGCATTCTGATTGGCTGGGGAATGGATCCTGGGGGATAGAGGGCTCTGATTGGCTGGGGAATGGGTCCTGGGGTGATGGAGGGCTCTGATTGGCTGGGGAATGGGTCCTGGCGTGATGGAGGGCTCTGATTGGCGGGGGAATGGATTCTGGGGTGATAGAGGGATCTGATTGGCTGGGGAATGGATTCTGGGGTCAGAGGGCTCTGATTGGCTGAGGAAGGATCCCAGAGGGCTATGATTGGCTGGAGAATGGATCCCGGGGTCAGAGGGCTCTGATTGGCTGAGGAAGGATCCCAGAGGGCTCTGATTGGCTGGGGGATGGATCCCGGGGTCAGAGAGCTCTGATTGGCTGGGGAATGGATCCCAGAGGGCTCTGATTGGCTGCAGGAGCTGGAGGAGACCCAGCAGCAGATCGAGGCCGAGCTGGAGCGAGCGGCGACCGCCAAGAGTGACAGGTGGGGACCCCGAAACCCACCTGGAACCCCAAAATCTGACACCCCAAAACCCTCCTGGAACCCCTCAAAACACCCTGGGACCCCTAAACCTGAGCCTCCAAAACCCCCCTGGAACCCCCCAAATTCCCCCCAAAATCTTGGCTCCCCCCTGACCCCGGTGTCCCCTCAGGGTCCTGCCGGTGTCCCGGGGGTCCCTGGGGGGCTCCCAGGGGTCCCGGGGGCTCAGGACGAGGCCGAGCGGGAGCGGGGCCGGGAGCGGCAGCGGCGGCTGCGGAGATTCCTGGGAATCAAAGGGAGAGAGCGACACAAAATGGGTACGGGGGGAACTGGGAGTGGGGACTGGGATTGGGGACTGGGATTGGGGACTGGGATTGGGGACTGGGGGAACTGGGAAGGACTGGGAGGGACTGGGAGCACTGGGATTGGGAACTGGGGGAACTGGGAGGGACTGGGAGGGATTGGGATTGGGAACTGGGGGCACCTCCGGAGCTTCCTGGGAACCAAGGGGAGAGCACGGCCCAAAATGGGAACTGGGGGAACTGGGATTGGGGACTAGGAACACTGGGATTGGGAACTGGGAGGGACTGGGATTGGGAACTGGAAGCACTGGGAGGGACTGGGAGGGATTGGGATTGGGAACTGGGAGCGCCTGTGGAGATTCCTGGGAATCAAAGGGAGAGAGCGACAGAAAATGGGTACTGGGGGAACTGGGAGCACTGGGAGGGACTGGGAGCGCTGGGATTGGGAACTGGGGGTGCCTGTGGAGCTTCCTGGGAACCAAGGGGAGAGAGCGGCCCAAAATAGGAACTGGGAGGGACTGGGAGCACTGGGAGGGACTGGGGGGAACTGGGGGCACCAAGGGGAGAGTGCAGCTCCGAACGGGGACTGGGGGAACTGGGAGCACTGGGATTGGGAACTGGGGGAACTGGGAGGGACTGGGGGGGCTTTGGGGAGTGATTTGAGTCACCTGGGGGCTCCCCAGAGCTCCCTGGGTACCTTGAGGGAGGTTTGGGGGTCCCTGGATGCCCCTGGACCTCTTGGGGAGGATTTTGGGGGTCCCTGGGTTGGG